GTCACTGCTCTTCGCAAGGGGAGATGTATAGTCCCGTGTGACTTCCCTGGGACAGAAAGTTTGTGGTTTTGCACCTGGTTTCCTCTGGACTTCAGGCCATTTCTTTTGCCAATATTGCTTTGTATCCTTTTGATATAATATACAATTGTGTATTTACAACCTAGAAAATAATCAGACCTAGGGGTGATCTTGGGGGCTCTAACATATTCTACTTTTTTCTCTGAAAATAGAAAGAAAGAAAGAAAGAAAGAAAGAAAGAAAGAAAGAAGAGTATTTTTCAAAAATGATTGCAATTAGTGTTCCTATTCCACCTTGCTTACAATGTGATTCTGAAATTCTTCCCACTGAGAAGCAGAACCTTAGAACCTGGGTGATCTGTATCTGTGGTTTTGTATCTTATGGTCCTTTGAAATTATTTTCCGATGTACAGGTGAAGCCATGTGACCTTTGAGATTAGCGGAGACAAAACATAATGTACTTTAGTCTTTGCTTATTTTGTGGGTACTCATCTTTAGAACTGAGTTACCGTGTTGAGAGGAAGCCCAAAGGGACGCACAGAGAAGAGCTGTGTACTTGTTTCACCCAACAGCCCCGCTGAGATGCAGACAGACAGCCACATAACTTCTGGTTGGAATGAGAAATGCTTTCAGCCTCTAGCCCTTTAGACAACCCCCAGCTTTCAAGTCTTCCTAGTAAGACCCTGGACATTGTGGAGCACAGACGAGCTGTCTTTACTGTGCCCTGCCCAAAATCCTGACTCAAAGAATCTGCAGACACAGTGAGATGGTGATTATTTTACACTATCTGTAGGTGGTTTGTTACACAGTAGTAGTAATGACCTCTCTTTCCTGTGATGACATCTAATATAAATAGATTGTGGCTTGGCATCTCTGTGCTAGAGGAGGAAGAGTAGAGTTTTACATACGGTGTTCTCAGCCTGTTCTAGTATGGAGGGTGACACTGTGGTCTTCCTGGTGTTCTTCTCCTTCCTGTCATTAATGACTAACATATGTGAATGCGGTAATTGGCAATCTTTTTCCCTTTCTCCCTGGACTTGGTTGGAGGCCTCAGGCATGTTTGGGATGGCTCAGGTTCTTTTCCACTCCCCTACTCTAGACGCTATGACTCCGTCAGCCCCAGTTCCAGTGTTTAGCTCTGGAGTCCCTAGCAGTGCCCCTTTCTACAGACTTGCAGAACTTCTGGGTACTGAACACGGCTCGTTACCAGTGAATCTTAGAGGCTCCTTTTGCCTGACTATTCCTGGCAAGTGAATGGGAAGTTTGAGAGGTGGTGAATTTCAAGAGTCCTTAACAGGAACGAGGATAGGAAACTCCCTAAATCTTTCTCATTTACCTAATATACCTCTCTCTGTCCAGGATGAAGAGACTTTGCATCAGTAAAGAAGTAGTGGACAAACTGGAAAATATTTTGGCCTGTTTTCCTTTCTTCAATTTCCCATGTAGACTCTTCCCAATCTTCTGTCTGTAATTCTTCCCTAAGCCTTCAGAGCCAAGGAATTTTCTCTATACATTTATAAAATTCCATGATCTGACATTTGATCACTGATATTCTAAAGTCTTCAAGCTTGTCAGTTAAATTGTAAGGCTATTGTCTTGCTAAAAAAAAATCCTATTTTGCATGTTAGAAGCTACCATTATTGTGCTCTTTCATTGACATTTTCCCTGAAACAAATGTTAGTATTCCTCTTGGGCAAGTGAGTTGTTTCATACACTGAAAAAACGAAAACATATTAATTTTCAAAATTCCCTTCCTTTCTTGGTGAGCCATCAAATTACTTGCTTGTCCTGAACTCCCAGTATCCCAGCTTTGCTTTGAGGCTGAGCTGTGGTTAATATTATGTGTGGTCCTTTAACATTATTCTTGATGTACTTTTTAAATATTCTGTTTCATGCTTTTTGTATTCAGTTCTGAAAAGCATGCCTGCTCTGCTTTCTTCTGATAAATTATATTCTCCAGAGTCCAACTGGTTTGTTCTACTTTATTTATTTATTTATTTACCTATTCCACATTTGCTTCCTTCTGATTTCTAGTCATCTGCTTCATCACAAATTTATTGTTTGCCTGTACTCTTACTTTCTATATATCCCCAGCTGCCTTGGTTTTCACTTATTTCCTTGCTCGGATTTGCAGCTCCTCAGTATTTTCATATTGCATCTTATGCTGGTGTGTGTTAGTTTATTTAGAAAGATGCACCAAACCCAGCTCCAATTGAATCAGACAATAAAAGCAATTTATTGGCTCACATTCTTCCAAATGTCCAATGTCTGCAAAGAATTAATATGGCATTACATCATTTTTCTTACTGATTCTCTGTAGCCTTTTAAGCTATTGATTTCTTGCTATAGCAGTTGTAAGAGGGCTGCCAAAACAACCTGGGCTGGCTGCTCCCTCATTTATAGCTAATTGTGGGAAAAATTCTTTTATATAAACTATTGAATAAAATCTTGGGCTCTAATCTGTTTAAACAAAGTCAAATCCCATGGCTAATCCGGACCCCTTCACTGTTTCAGAGACTATGCCAATGGTCTCGTAGGCTGACTAGATTCTGCCCCTAGGCCTGGTACTGGGGTTGATCCTGCAACTATATGCTGGGAAACGGGAAGGGGGAAAGTGGATTCAAGGGGAGGCCAGCTCTGAACACTTTTCACCAGCTGATTGACCTCACGTTTTCCTAACTCAGTGTTCATAGATTTCACTCTGAGTCAGCTAACGAGGGAATATTTATGCCACAGAAACCGGCAATTGTTACATACTAGCTTTGGGGGGGGGGGTACTGGGGATCAAACTCATGACCTAGCACTTGCCAGGCAGGCACTTATGCCGCTGAGCTAAATCCCTGGCCCCCATACGACCTTTTTTGTTTGTTTTGGTTCTAGAACTGGTTTACTGATACATCTCCAATAATGGGAAGCACTCAATGTAATGTGTGTCAACAGGCAGCGGTCTCCTAACTAGTTTTCCTAACTGTAGAATTGCCTCCTCAAGATATTTTAAAATAACAAAACTTATTGTGACATAAGTCATTCTATCATAAAATCCACCCCTTTTAAAGTGTACTACTAATTGGTTTTTAAACATATTCTAGGGTTTTACAAACATCATCTTAATTAATTTCGCTGCACCAAAATTATAAACTCCCTGCCCATTAACAATCCTATTCCTCCTCCAAGTTTCTATTTCCTGGCGAGTACTGTTTTGCTTTTTTGTCTCTGTGGATTCATTTGCTCTAGGTTTTCCATATGCAAATCATGTGATCTTTTGGTTTTAATTTCTTTCACCTAGAAAACTGTTTCCAAGATTCATCTACATGACAGCACATTATTGCTATTTTATTTCTCCTGGGGTCAAATAATTATTCATTGTAGGTATAGACCACAGTTTTTCATTCCTCTGTCAGGTGATGATGTGAATTACTGAGCCTGATTCTAATTATAGTTTTTGATCCAGTCCTTTCTACCTCTAGTGTTCAGTACTTCTGAAACCAGAACTGTTTTCCTAAAACACTGCATCTTGTCACTCAGGTCATAAAATTGTATCTTCCCCTCTCCCAAGGAGATGCCAATGGGACACGACTGAACTTACATTAGAAACTGTTTAGTTTGACCCCTAGTAGGAACAGGAATGGGAAGATGATGCCTTTCTCTGAGGAGACAGTTGGGTCAGCATACTGAAGTCTCATTTTTATTTTTGGCAGAGCTGAGGATTAAATCTGAGGGTCTTGGACCTGCTAAGCAAGCGCTAGAGTACTAAACTACAATCCCAGCCTTAAATTTCATTGAAAGTACCTCTGTCTGACTGACCAATCAACCAGCCAATCACCCAACCAACCAAAGAGACCAAAGAAATACCCAAAAGAAAAGTACAAACTATATAAAGTAGTGGCATGAATATTATTTAGCCTTGTGATTTATATTGTTCACATTTCTTTTTAGGTCTTAATTATGATAATTTTCTGGCAGAAAAATGACTCTCATGGCCAAGCAACTCTTAATTTGTCACTCTCCTTTATTCACCTACTACTGGTTTTCCTTAAATTTTCTCCTTCTGAGATTTTAAGTGAATGTTTTTCTGTATGTGAAAAATGGGAATAAAATTTAGTATCTCAGAATCCAGTTATGGATTAAAGCACATAAGCCCTAAAATACTGTAACCAACACATAATAGTCACTCAATAGGTAAATGAGCACCATTGTGGTTGAACATGTGATTAAAATTTTCAAAAAAACTAAGATTATAACTACTTTGGTGTCCTTATTTTATAGCTTTGGTAATTTAATTTCAATATTGTCATAGTGCTTTAAAAGTAGAACAAATTTAAGCAGAAATTAGACATTCAGTTAGAAGCCTTTATTTTGCATGCCTGCCATCACCTCTAGTATAATCTGAAAGTATCAACAATTTCTTTGGGAAATGATCAGGAATAATGTCTTTTTTTATTATAATGAAGCTTTCATGAAATGGCTTAAATATAAACATCTTAAACTATACTGGGTTTGGTTGAGGTAAATGTCTCATAAGAATGAATAATAGAGCTTGACATTTTCCATTGTAGGAAATATGACTTGATACCAATTATTAAAGATGTAACCCAATATAGTGGGATAATTCTAATTTATACTAACAACCAAAAAAGGATGTTGAATGGTACTTAAATGGTAATTGTGTTTTGGTCTTATTTAGATGATCATAAAATTTAAATTGCTTTTTATGCTGTGTACTTTGCATTTAGAAAAAAACTTACATGTATACAATTTATCTTTTTAGCTTCATAAATAAAACAGCCCTGAGCTGGAGTCTTCTTCCAGGGGTTGGAGTACTTATAAATGCAATAGTCACTTTTTTCATTGAGGTATTTTCTGAAAGACTAAATTAATTCCAAAAAGTTGCCTTGGATGGAAATATTATGAACATAGTTTGGAAAATGCATCCTTTTACATAGTTTAGTCACCAGATTTTATTTCTCCTCTTTCTCCCTATAGGATCATGCCTGTCAAGATGATTACTCAATAGTCCACAGAAAGTGCCGTTCTCAGTTCACAGATCTAGATGGTTCCAGAAGATTTGGCATAAACACTTGGCATGATGAGAGTGGCATTTATGCTAATTCAGATGTGAAACAAAAACTCTACTCATTGACCAGTGGTCCAATTGTCCCCCACTTAAAGTAAAATAAGAGTCAGATTCTCTAATGCAAGAATAATGGATGCTAATATTTCCTGTACTAATAAATGCACTGAACGTAGATTCCTTTAAACACAGAATGTTGTGCTAGGACAGTATTTATATTTTGATTTTCATAAACTACTCTGGTGTTTTCTAAAATTGTTACTTAGCAGTCAACCCCACGATTGCTTGGCATATGGCCAATTTTAAAAAGTGAGGCAATTTAAGTTCTATATAAAGAAAAATTTTCCTTTAAAAAATATCTGACACATAGTGATTGTACTTATTTATGTTATACCATATGATGTTTCAATATGAGAGAAAAGGTAGGGGAGAGAGAGAGAGAGAGAGAAAATGAATAGAGAGGGAAAGGGAGAAGTCATGAGGGGAGAGGAAGAGATATTTTGAGATATCTGTTTGTTATGGTTTATGCCTGTGGCCCCCAAGCCTCATGCAATTACAGACTCAATCAAATCTAGCATTTGTGATTGGTTTGTTATCTAGCACTTGGATTGGTGGTGTGAGTGCTACACTTGCTTAGGGGTGGGGCCAAGATATGATGTGACAGTGGGAAGAAGGCTGTTTCTCTTGCCAGTTTGTGTTTGCTATTTGCGGCCTGCCATGAATGGTGCCCCACCATGCCACCCTGCCACTGGGAGCCAACTGAGTATGGACTGAAGCCTCCAAGAACTATAAGAAATAAACGTTTCCTTCTCCACTTTTGGGCATCAGATATCTTGTCTGAGTGAGGAATAAAAAGTAACATACTATTTATAGATTTTTAGTTTTCTTGGCATATTGTTGCATTGTATTTATTCAGGGTGATGTTTTATAATATTCCAGATAAATTCCTTTGAGTATATGGCATAGCAGAGATGCAAACAATGACATTTTGGCAGAACTTTATGGATTTGGTGGGAAATCCAGTCATCCAATGTTAGTGTCCAAACAGTTTTAGATTTACTGGAGGCAAAGAAACCAGGCAATACTCAGGAAACCAAACTTTTTTATGCCAGCCAGTTAGGAGGAGATGCATACTCTAAAAGTCTGAACCCTGAGGCTTTGTTGGGGCTGTTTTATATAAAAGTTTTAAGCAGGAATGCATAGGCTGAGTTACAGAGGTTGGAGAGGGCATGGATAAGCATAGGGTGTTCCAGTCAGGCTGCATAAGCAAGCAAGATTCTAGAACCTGGCTATGCAGGATGGCAGAAGTTGGTTGTATAAGTAAGGTAACAGAAGTGGAATGAGACAGTCATTTTGTAAAAGCTATCCATTTTGGTCTTAAGTTTTGTTTTCTTTATAATTTGACTTGAAAGATAGCTTGATACTTTTCTTCACTTATCTTCCATTTTTCTGATCAGCAAACAGCTGCCCACAGAAGTTTAAGCAGGTTGTTATATTAGTCATCTGGGGCTCCCATAACAACATGCCGTAGACTTGAGTAACTTAAAAAAACAAAACTACGTTTTCTCAGTTTTGAAGGTTAAAAATTCCCAGATCAAATTTCTGGCAGATTTATAATAGTAAATGATTATGATTATATTTAGTCTACTGTGCTATAGAAGTAGCATTAGAACTTATTCCTCTTTTCTAGCATATTTTAAATTCTGGCATGTGCTCTATCTTTGGTGATTGGCTGTGTCATCTTATTGTGAGAGGATAGAGTGGGAAGAGCTCTGTCTCTGTCTCTTTTTACAAGTTGCCGAAGGCAACAGTTACCTCCTGGAGGAGCTAGAATTAAATTTCCTAGAGAAGGGGCTGCAGTGCAGAATTTATAGATGTAGAGTCAGTTAATAGCACCTAGAGCTGTAAGAGAGGAAAGATCATCCTTGACAGTATTAGGATTGTTAGATGAATCTGAAAATCAAAATGGCAAAGGACGGTATTGATGGGAGAAAAGTATATCAATTTATTTAATGAGTTTTTTCTGACATGGAGTCTTCATAAGGAAATAAAGACCCAAAGGAAAAGTTAATCCTGTGTCATTTTAGCACTGAGTTTGATGAAGTGGATAGTTGTAGAGAAATAGGGGTGGATGTCAAGGTATGGGACAGACTAGGAGGAAACAAATAAGCCTATTTGCTCAGCTTCTTTACCATCAGAGACATGAAGGAGGCTCATTTCCTCTGGGTACAGGTTAGACAGTTCACACAGGAGGGTCTTATGCCCTTTGTTAGGGGAAAATCAGACAATTCTTGATGATCTGATTCAAAAAACAAGGACAGAGAGTCCTTCTTGATACTGCAATTTTTCTCTAATTGCTTAAAACAGCTGGTATCACAAGATGCTATATTTTGGGTCAACTTATTCTGAGCACTACCAGAATCAACATGTGCTAGTATTATAGCATCATGACTCAATCAATAAGTTTATATATGTGTGTGTATATGATTGTTACTACTTTTCTTTGGCATTTAAACCTCCAGTTGCTAAAATGGTCTGCTAGAATTAGAACCAAGATCCCATGAAAATAAGTACTCTTCATATATGTTGCGACATATATGATTCAATTCTTAGTGATAAAGGAGATACTGTTCATGTAGCCTGTGACTTTCTGGTGTCTTGCCTTGTGGCCAATTTGTTAAAAGGCCACATAACTCTTGGCCCCCAACCCCAATTCCCCCAACAGGAAGCCAGCTTTATACTTCTCATGTAGTTAGACCTCATCTTGTCTGATGCCATTTTCATATGAAAGGCTTTTTTGTCCATGGTACTTATCAACCATTGTTTTTATTAAGCAAAATTAAAGTGTTAAAAACTTGAGAATTCTGTGGATTTTACAAAGAGGCTCAACACAGAATTGTAACCAATTTTTTAATTACAGTATTTTGAAAAATATTCTGCCCCTCTGAAATGTTCCCACGTTCTCCCCTCAAGTCCATAACTAAACTCCCTTAACTTTGTATTTTGCTTATTTCTATTTCACACGATTTTTTAGAGTGCAGGGACTTGTCTACTCAGCTTCAGGCTGACCACTGGGCCAAACACATAGTTGGCATTCAGAAATACTGAAGGAATTAGTACAGTGATGTCTGTCATAATCATACACTGACATGAATGAATTCTTGGATAACTAACAAAAAAATTGAAGTTCATGTGAACAGAATGGCCTTGGTTAAAAAAATTAAGATACTAGCATACTTGTTTAACCAAAAACTTCAGTGGTAATATTGTGAAAAGACTGAAGTTGGCAGAATGGGCCTGAGAAAATTTTTCATCCTGTGCAGTAAGCCTGAGTTTATGAGTATTCATCAATCTAACTGTAATAAAACCTTCTATAATGTAAGATAATGAATTGTATGTCTGGGAATAAATATTTGAACTGGTTATGATAGTTAACTGATTGTATTAACTTGAGTAAGAAATTGGGCCAGCATAGTTCTGGATGTGGCTGAGGTGACTGACTGAAGACAGAATTTGGTACCAGGAGTGGGGTCATTGCTTGTGACTCTACCTGGCCATGTGATTCTGGAGCCTTTGGAACTGTCTTGCAGGAAGAGTCTGGAAAGGTTCTGAGGTTCCAGTTGAAGAAACAGTCCTAGAATGCTGTAAGTTGTACTTGATAGGGGATTCTAGTCAGAGTTCAGAAGAACAGTGTTGTATTCAGGAGTGGTGCAGAGAACAATTAGAATCAGGACACAGAATGTATAATAACATTTATGATGGACATCCAGATTTTAACACAAGAAAGTACAGGAAATATGTCCACAACACTAAAGACCCAGAATATTCAGCCAAGGGCCTGGATCCCACAGCAGTGCCTCACATGAGTCCAGATGAAAAGCAAGAGCCCATGACAATGCCTCCCATGAGTCTAACTGGAGGTCTAGAGCCCACAAGGATTCATGCCAGTCTGTGTTATGGATCTGTGCTTGGAAGGCCCAAAGGTCAGTGGTGGAAGCTAGAAATTCTATGCAAGTAGGGTGAAGGAGCTGTGCTGATAGATTGAGGGTTCTACACTGGAGCCAAGAAGTCATGCTCAAAATAAGAACCAGGGCTGTCCTGAAAAGTAACACAGCCTCCTCAGTGGCACGGATGTCCTGAGCTCCTCCAATGATAAGCACAATCAAGTACATGCCAGGAAGCCAGTGTGATAAGTTTCTCCTGGAGATTAACAGCATACGTCTTCCCCTCCAGACCCAGGAAGCAATGCTCGATGTAAGGACCAGAGCTCCCCCAAAGTGAACCACACCACTCTCACCAAGCTCCTCTGATGACAATGGTCAAACTCACACTGGGTTAAGCTAGTCATGATGAGCTCCTCCAAGGAGAACCAATGCTGAAACAGCAACACTTGGAGAAACACACAATGCCTTGCTTGTCCTTCTCCACATCTCTCTTTATGCTGGCAACTTTCCTCAGGTGGGACATCTATGCTCAGCACCATGCTGATTTAATTCTGCTGGCATTAAGTTGACCACCAGTGTTTAATCCATAGCAAACAGGATGCTGATACAAATGCTTCCTGCAAAGACTAGGTTCAGCAGGTTTCATTTAGGAGCCAAGACTCCATTGGTATTTGGACTCCAGATCATGTATGTTATGACTTGGCAGAAAATTTGTCTGCATTTTACTCTTGTCCAGAGCCTTTGCTAAAGACTGAGATTAATCTGACAGAAGAAATTTTAAAGCAGTCTTTGTCTTTGTAGGGGGCTTTTAGATCTGTGCTGAGAATCAAGAAAGAAGAGCCCATAAAGATGACTTAAAATATTTTGAGTTTGGCTAGAAATCAAGCTTCAGTAAAGTTACAGACTGCAAAGATGGAGCAGAGGAAAACTTTGCTGTGAAGGAATAACAGGACAATAGAAAAGATAGCCTGAGGGCATTACAAGAACCAATAGGACTCTGCCCTTTGAAGCCTCAAAATTGCAAAGGTGAAAGATTTTGCTTTGAGAAGAGAGTCCTAGATCACCATGTTCTATTATGGTAGTGACCTAGAGAATTTTTTCCTTGGGATTGGGTTCATAGTACTCAGCAACCCAGGCACTTGACTCCTCTCCAGCTGGTGGCAGACTTGGGTGGCAGATGTGGCGCTGGTTTTAGATGCATGCAGAACACAGGAATTGTGGGGTCGGGTGTGAGCTCTAATGTCCTTTGCTTCTGCCTTCAAGTTGGCTGTATGAAAATTGAAACTGTTCCAAATCTCATATCCAGGCATGAAACTCTCCAGGGAATAGTATTTGATTATCTCTTCTTGACTTAGTGTGTTGATATCTGGGAACTGTTTGTCAGAAGCCTCCTCCATGTATTCAATTCCTCTAGCTTCCTATTCAAGGAGAATCTCATGGGCAGATCAGAATCTCCTCCTCTGCTGCAAATGGAATTAGCTTTCTGTGGATACTGTTGGGTGGTGCTTTACCTGAAGAAAATCAGGATCGTGTTTGG